ACCATGTATTTATTTCCCAAAGCACAGTATTATGCAAAAAATATGGTGTGGTTCACCAAAACAAACCACAACAAACAAATTTGTTGACAAGTCAAAGATAAAACTGCTGGTATCTGAATCTACAGCAAGGTTCGCGAAAAGAATACGAACATGACAGTTGTTATATCAAACACTATACGGCATAACACCGTCTATGTGCCTATACATACAAGCGACGACGTAACATGTCTTTTCATGAAGGGAGGGTGCCGGGGGCAACTATCTTTCTGGATGGGTCAAATTGATCGATGGCTCGTGTCAATTCAGAGACACGGGGTTCGTGTGAATGCGTTCATATTTCCACACTGCAAATGGGTTGATCACGGCCCAAACGCAGCTAGCTGGCCATAGGCGCTGGTCATTTTTTCGTGCAAAAACTGACCAGTGAGGGGTTCTGAGCATTCAAATCGTACCGAAAAACCCGCGGCAACGTTTGGGTACGGCACGTGGTCGCACTGTTTAGAAGTGCTGATCGGATCACTTCCCCCAACCCGAACTTCGGGAACTGGGAACTGGTCGGTGGCTGCGACAATCGGTGCCAAGTACAGGATAGTTGAGATTGAATAGGACTGGCCCATGTTAACCCGCGCACCGACGGGGGTCTGCGCCAACTTAGTACCGACGGGGGGGGGGGGGGCGGATGATCGCCCCCCCCCCTGAGATCTCGAGAACGAAGCAAGATAGCGACAAGCGGTAAACGGCATCGGATACGCACGGACAAGGTCTACAATTTTTACTAAGGTCATTTTCAGGTCAGGTCAAAGATGACGTCACAGGGGTCGAAAAAGTCAAAATGGCGGCGCTAGATATGGAGAGGGTTTTTCTCGAATAACTTTCGAAGTAGTCAAGATAGGAACAAACTAAGGGAATCATCGTGATCCTCTCGTCAATCCGCATCGAATGATATATATGTTGACCTCGAAAGGTCAAGGTCAAAGGTTGACCTCAGGTCACGTGACCTCGAGGTCATCATGTATATCATTCGATGCGTCTTGACGAGCTGAACACAATGAGACCATCCGCGCGGCTGTATCTTGTTCCTGTAAGGAGTTATTGGCAAAAAACCTTTGGTGACCTTTGATGACGTCATATGACCTTACAGCTGCCCAACAGCAAAACAGACCTCAAGGTAGTGAAGGTTGATCGTATGTGAAGTCATGTATGGTATATGGGGCCATTCCGACCCGTATTAGTGGTAAAAACAGGGAGTTGATTTTTCCCCCATTGACTTATAATGGGGAGGTCGCGAAATTGACCTGACCTTAGGTCACCGACATCAAAATTCCGAGATATACAAATTGTAGCTACTAATGACCTAATAACATCCTGCAACTTTCAAAGGCCTCCGACATCTACTGTAGCTCTGGCACGGTGACAAAGTTGCAAAAAAGTGACTTGAGGTTGGGTCATTCAAAGTGACCTGGTGACCTGACCTTAAAAGTTAGGAGGTTCAAACTTGCACACCATGTGTAAAATTGATGAGGTTATAGTCATACCAAATTTCGCGGCGCTACGCGCCGCGGTTTTCCCGCTATCCGCGAAAAACCTCAGGGGGGGCGGATATCCGCCCCCCCCGTCGGTGCGCGGGTTAAAGGTCCACCAAGGATCATCAAAATCACCACCTATGCCTGCAAGGAGATTTGGTCCGGTGTAGGTGCACAAATGACGCATTTCTACATGACAATCGAAGTCGTGGATCGTTTTATTTAGAAGTCCTAGGCAGTCCTCGTTCGGCTTGTCGCTGCCGTCAAGATCTGTGTTGGTCCAGAGTTGAGCAGCAGTTATGTTGGATCCATCCGCTGAGTCATACCGGTGTGCCTCCAGGATGTCGTTGACTCCGATTCCGATGGGTTCGCCTGATGGGATGCCGAAAACCCCGTACAGATGGTCGACTATTTCCGTGGAGTGTGGAACGAAAGGGACACCGCCGAGGTCCAGACAGCCGCGGGCAGCTTCATTACTGGGAAGGGCAGATTCGGTGAGACGAAGAAGACGTCCGGAGATTTCGGTGAAGATGGACTCCATTCCTGATGTAACTGTTACGGCTACTCTGGAAAGATGGGACTTTTCTTGATCAATCGATTCACTGATATTTGTGCTGGTCTGGTCAGTGGCCGTGTTGGGATCCGGTCGACAATGCAGCCTGCCAGAAAGTTTCCATCCTTGGCGACAGGAGCAGGAACCGTTTGCACCACACTCCACGCCATCCGGCTCGCTGGCGAACAGGGAGCAGTCAGCGTCCTGATGACACGGCTGGCCCAGCCAGCTGATGCCACGACGCCGGCCCGTGCTCCACTCTCCCATTGTCTCCTGGGTGACGTCCGCCTGCAGCAGGATGTCGGTAAGACCGCACGTCCTGCTTCCCATGTGATGTTCGTAGCCCAGACAACGCGGATCGGCCAGACACCTGAACCGACAGCTGCAGAGCGAGATGCCCGTCAGGGTGCAGTAGCGCATGTGGTCAGCGTACCTCTGAGAGCCTTTGGAGATGCCGTCAAACTCGAACGCCTCGGGTGGAAACAGCACCGTCCCGGTGTTCGACCTGTCCAAAAGCTCGGATGGCAAATGAGAAAAGCTGTCAGCATTCATCGAGCGTGCGAGAGCGAGAAGTATCAGCAGCACGATCAGTGAGGCAGGCCGCCCGACCAGACACGAACGTCCGGCCATGGTGGCGGCTCGCCGGGGAGTGGTCACACCGTCGACCCTTGCGCCGCCCACAGTGCCCATCAAGGCCATCATAGAAGGTACAGTCACTCCCCCGCCGACCAATCAGAGACAGATCCTGAGTGACGTCACCCCTGATGCTCGAAAGGGGTACTCCATTCCTTTACAACGTAAAAATGACTAACTTCATTTGAAGATTATTGGTGACACTTTACACATATCGCTCAACCATTGATGTCACTGGAAAGTCCAACTTATTTTCTAGCGATAAAAAAGAGCAGCAATATGCTAAGAAATGGCCGGTTTTGAAGATATAGACGATTTAAAAACCCTCTGCAGTTGCAGGAAAGCAACGTAAAAACGCATCGAGCTTATATTTTTACTATGAATAAATCATTTTTCAGTAAGTTTTTAGATATGGTATCGATTTATACAACAACTTTATTACAATATTTTTATTACTTGGAACTTTATTTCAAAATAATATTTTCAAAAATGGCAACTGTTGGCAAGTAGCTTTGAAACGATTGTGGCGCGCCGCGCCATTATTGTCCTGAGGCCCCCATATGATGTCATCAAAAGTGGAGTGACATGGGCCTGGTGCCCATGTGACGTCACCGTCTACAGCACTCGTGTGACATCACCGTCTACAGCGCCCGTGTGACATCATCGTCATCAGCGCCAGTGTGACGTCACCGTCTACATACAGCGCTGGTGTGACGTCACCGTCTACATACAGCGCTAGTGTGACGTCATCGTCTACAGCGCTAGTGTGACGCCATCAGCGGAGGGACGTTGTGCGCGACGTCATCAGGGGAGACATGGGTTTGGTAAGCACGAGTGGCAAAAGCAGTTTGCAACATGTTGCAGTCGTATAGAAGCTATTGGCAAAGAATCTGCCCCCCCCCCCCCCCAGTGAAAATTCCTTAGACGAGGCCCTGGCCTTCCGCGTTTCACTACTTGGCCCAGGAGCCGAGTTAGAAGGGGGTGTTCAACCCCCCCCCCCCCCAACAGAGCGCGGAAATCCAGGCAGTGGCGGATCCAGGAAAACTCCAAGGGAATCGAATCGAAGTGGTGTCCCTACCTATACCCAAAATTAAAAAGTCAGCGGATTTCGGCCACTTCATTTTGATGGTGCCCTATTTTCAGTTTTTTTATATTTTTGTGTGTGTTGCCCCTGGTGGGCCTGTGGTGCCCCTGCTAGGCCGCAAGTGCCCCTGACAGGTTTGTGATGCCCTTTCTAGGCCGGTAGTGCCCCTGGCAGGCCTGTGACAAGCCTAAAGTGTCCCCTACAGGCACGTGGTGTCCCTGACGGGCCCAAGGTGTCCCTGCGAGGCCAGTGGTGCCCCTGACAGGCCTCTGGTGCCCCTGACGGGCCCAAGGTGCCCTTGCGATGCCAGTGGTGCCCCTGACAGGCCTGTGGTGCCCCTGCTAGATTTTTGGTGCCCCTGGCAGGCTTGTGGTGCCCTTGGAAGGACTGTGGTGCCCCTGGGCCCTGACAGGACTGTGGTGACACTGACAAGCCTGAAGTGTCCCCGACAGGCACGTGGTGCCCCTGACGGGCCCAAGGTGCCCCTGCGAGACTTGTGGTGCCCCTGGTAGGCCTGTGGTGCCCCTGCTAGGTCTTTGGTGCCCCTGGCAGGCCTGTGGTGCTCCTGGAAGGACTGTGGTGCCCCTGGGCCCTGACAAGCCTGAGGCGCCCCTGATAGGCCTGTGGTGCCCCTGGCGGGCCTGTGGTGCCCTTGTTGGGCCTGTGCTGCCCCGGCCGTGATGGTGCCCCCGGGAGGCCCAAGGGGGGCAAGGCCCCATGCCCCCCCCCCGGATCCGCCACTGAATCCAGGACCCCCAGCCCAGCAGGGGCTGGGGAAGTAGAGTGCTGATTTTAAGCACAATCATTGATGAATCCGCCGTCGTTTCAACGTCCTGTCATAGTGCAGCTCGTCAATGTTCCACCATTGACGCAGGGCCGCGGTTTCCCGGTGAGCCCTTACCACCTGCCGGCGACCATTGGAAGCACACGGCAGTTCCAATAATCACCGCCATCCGTTGGACTTCTCTGATCACTGCTGCCACCTGTCGGTGATCATTGGAATCACACAAGGACTACTCGTCAGCGTAATTTATAAACAGTTAGTCGGTAGCAGTGGAAGACCGCGGCGGGAGGTGGTGACTGCGGTAAAACATAGTCTGGAGAACTGTGTGGAACAGTGTGCGAGCGACTACCCCGCTGTGACCAGTGACCTGACCTGACCTGACCTGACCTGGGTCAAAATAGAAGAAGAGATAGTGAGTAGTGACTACCGAGCGCATCCTCTACATATAAAAAGGTAAAAATTGTGGATTAACCATGACGAATGCATACAAGCGGAGAGAAACATACTTTGATCCAAATATCGGACAAATAGAGTAAAGATAGACTTATAGCATGTTCGTTCGTATTCAACGATCACAAATCGCATTACATACACCTCCTGCCTTACAATGCTGTAGGTAGGTCTACTATTATATCTAGTAAGAGTTCGTGCATTTCTCGTCCGTTAGGCGGCACGGGCGGACATCGATAGCAGCGCCTCTATCGGTCACTAGGGAAAGCTGGGCTGTAGGCGACGAAATACCGGCTGAGTTGTCACAAGATAAATAGGTTTATAGGCATCCTTCTTGTGAAAAAGTTGAACTTTTGCCTTCAATATTTCTACAGGCAATTTTAGAAGTGCCTTCACATAGATTACAAAACCGTTTAAATTATTTTATTCACTTCAAGCCTTCCCTATTGTTCTTGATGATGCGGGAACTATTTCTAATTAGTGTTTCTAGCTTAGTAAAAGAACATATTTCGCAAACGATGAAAAAAGCATAAATGGAAGATTTTAAATACAATTTTCTGTAACAAGTAATGGTAAATTCTCCACACATCACGGAAAAAAGTGCATGCTAACTGATAATTTAAAGTTCTTGGGGACAGTTGGTTTCTTCTTTTCTTACGTCGCCCCAATGGCCGCGAATACACTTGTGATAACGCCTATCGCGTTTCTGGTTGCTTTTCCCGTCGATGGGTTTAACCCTCGCCGGACCTATTGGTTTTCTACATACGCGCCGGCCGAGGGGGGGGGGGGGCGGGTACGACCCCCCCCTCGCCGTTTCGCCCCTGGTGGAGCTAGCGCGTCGCGGAAAAAACGAGCGTGTGCGCCGTTACGAGACGCAGAGATTGGTACCCGATTTTAAGGTCCTAGGTCAACCGGTGACCTCTGAGGTCAGGTCAAGTGCCCCAGGGTACGGTTCAGTTTTTGGTGAATAACTTCGCAAAAAACGGCCGCAGAGCGCCGATTTTGGCAGCATCGTGTTCGCCTCGCTCAGGCGCGTCGAATGATATACTTTTTGTCCGGGTCAGGTCAACTTGGGGTGTTGACCTCAGGTCAAGGTCAGGTCAGCACCCCCAGGTCACGAAGTTGGTCGAAAGAGGTCATGTCGCATATCACTCGATTCGGCAGGCCTTCCTGAGTCCATTGGTGCCTTTCCCGACTCGCTAGCTCAATTTGATCAAGAGTTATTGACGAAAAACTAATTTGACCTTGATGACGTCATAAATGACGTCACGCAAGGTCAACATTGCAAAAGTGACGCATCTAACCGTGCAAGGAGTGCATCAAATCACGATTCTGTGTGCTTGAGATAGTTGGAGATCGTTCCCGGCGCCAGAATAGCAGTTTGAATTTTTCCCCATTGACTTATAATGGTGAGGTCACGAAAATGACCTGACCTCATATGACCTTTAGGAAAAATCCGAGATATACAAGTTGTGGGACTCATAATGGATACTAGATCCTGCAAGTTTCATTTCCCTGTGACATCTCCTCTGGCAGTGAGGGCGTTGCGAAGTTGCGACATCTGAAGACCGTGCAGAGGTTCACTTATGACGTCATAGGTCAGTGACCTGACCTGACCCAAAAATGCGGTTGGTGTCAAAAGATCCGGCTTGGATCAAAGGTCAGGTATGCCAAGTTTCAGCTCTCTATCGCCAGCGTGTTCGGAGCTATCGCGAAAAAACCCTATGGGGGGGCGGCACCCGCCCCCCCCCCCCTCGGCCGGCGAGGGTTAAATGTACGTTCATTTGTGTAGGTAATACGAGCTTATGCCAGCCATGTAGTGGCAAACCCCTATCAATCAAACAGTGCATCGCCCTGCATACCTATACGTAAATCGTCTATCTCCTGGGTGTTAGCTCAGCCGAGGTTAGAGGAATGCACGACTACACTTCTGGGAACATACCATCGGTATTGATTGCTATCCACTGTCAGTGCATCGTTTCATTCTATTGATGACACACCGCGCTCTGCTCAAAATATAACGTTTTTGGAATATATGTACCTTAGCTACACGCCATCCTAATTTCCCCTAATTTTTCTCTTTTTAGAAAAGAACTCATGCTACAGTGTGCTCAGTGGCGTAGACAGGGGGGGGGCCATGGGGGCCATGGCCCCCCCTTTCCGCCCAGCCGCCCAAATGGCGCCCCAATTAGCGCCGACTAGGCTGATGCCGTTTTACAGAGAGAACATGAATTAAAAAGTGATGTGCAGGCAGGGATCGAACTCAATATCTCTTTAGGGGTGCCTGGACACCTAAATAATCTCCAGGGCACCCCCAAATACGACCTGAGCCCCCAAATGTTGAAGGGCGCCCCTCCGGAAACCAGAATATTCCGAACCTCCAGGGTCGATGGCGCCCCTGAAGAGCCGCTGGCACCCACCTAAACGGAACAGTCGCCCCATTAAAGCTTGATGGCGCCCCTCTAGAGCACCCGGCGCCCCTCTGAAGTTCACAGCTGCCCCAATCGACCCATCCAAGATCGATCCCTGAAACCACTGGCGCCCCTCTAAAGCACCCGCATTCTTCTCAAGATCACAGTCGCCCTATCCGAGATCAATAGCGCCCTCAAGAGCCACTAGCGCCCCACCCCCTTGAGACTGAAGTCGTCCCGCTTGAGACTAAAGTCGCCCCATTCAAGCCCAATGACGCCCCTCCAGAGCGTCCGGCGCGCTTCTGAAGATCACGCCCATCTAAACGAAGGTTACAGCTGCCCCATCTTAAGATCGATGGCAGCCCTCTGAAACCAATGGCGCCCTTCTAGACTACCCGGCACCCCTCTGAAAATCACATTCGCCCCATCCGAGACAACGCCCCTGGAGACTACAGTCGGCCCACCCAAGCTCAAGCCACTCCAGAGCCTCCCTGCGGCGCCCTGCTGAAGGCAACAGTGGCCCCATCCATGCCCAATGGCGCCCCTCAACGCCGTTCTAAAGATCACAGTCGCCCCATCAATCCGAGGTCGCTGGCGCCCCTCAAGAGCCACTGGCGCTCACCTGAACCGGGGCTTCAGTCGGCCCATCCTTGATCAATGGCGCCCCTCTGAAACCACTGATGCTCCTCTGAAAATCCCAGTCGGACCATCCGAGATCAATGGCGCCCCTCCAGAGCGTCCGATGCCCTACTGAAGGCAGCAGTGACCCCATCCAAGCATTGCACCCCTCTAGAGCACCCGGTGCCCTTCTGAAGATCACATTCGCCCTATCCGAGGTCGTTGACGCCCTCCAGTAGTCACTGACGCGAAACTGAATTGGATACTTCGGTCGCGCCCCCCCCCCCCCCGAAACCACTGACGCTAGGCAATTTTTTGACAATGGGGCTTTCTCATCGACACCAAGGGCCCTTTTCAAGATGCAGCAGCTAGGCGGCGCCGAGCTGGGCTTGGATGTGCCAAGCGAAGCGTTCCTTATTAGGCAGCCTTGTAAGTGCCACCCTCGTTGCGATACCGCCCCTCAACGCGACGCTGCCCCTTCACCGTACAATGCCACCCCTCAATGCAAGTTGCGCCCCTCAGCGCTGTGCCGTCCATTATTGCGAAACCGACAGCGCCTAGCAGTGGGGTGCCGCCCCCAGCGTAAGCGTTTTTTTATTGAACCTGCTGGGGGTGTTCGAACACCCACTTCTAACTCAGCTTGTGGGCCACGTCGAGACACGCAGTAGGCGGCGTTCGAAAGAGCGTCAAAAACTATTACAAAACTACTTAGATCATTTTAAGGCTAGGTCGAACTGGTCGAAGGTCAGGTCACCAGCGACAACCGAAAATCAAATTTCGCCGATGTTGACATTTTTTGACAAAGCGGCGCATAAGTCAGGATTCAGAAAGAGATTGAACTACAGCGCCGCAGCAAAGCGCATATTCGATAGCTCTTTTTTATGCTCTCTCTTATTGATTATCTCAGATTTGACCTAAGGTAAACGTTTTAGCCTCAAAATATACGTTTTCGCGGAGGACGTTTACATTTTGCTCAGACCTGCATGAGATTAGTTCAACCAGCATCGTGTTCCATTTTTCGAGACAGACAAGTCAAATGAACTAGAATTTGACATTAAAAGGGCATTTGAGAATTTGACCTAAGGTAAAGGTCATAACCTAACCGGTAAAGGTCATATTGCATATTAGTCGATCCATACTTTCGAGAAGGAAAATAATTATATAGGGTGTTTCATTGCTCTACCATATCTCTATCAAAAGTTATTGTCCAAAATCTACTGGAGACCTTTCATGACCTGAGATGACCTCAGTAACATAAAAGTGGTCACATCACGAGTGACATTTACCGATTAACCCTATTCCTGGCGGGGGGGGCCTCAGGAGCCCCCCCCTGAGGTTTTTTGGTTATTTCTCCCAAACGCGTTGAGCTAGGAAGCTCAAATTTTCTGACTTTTCCTATAAGGCTTCTACGCAACATGTCTGAAAATTTTGAGTTGATCTGACCTCAGGTCAGGTCACCAGAGGCGGTTTGGTGACCCTACCTCAGAAAAGTTTGCAATCACGCCAGAGCTAGAGTTTTTGACCGATCAATTTCTTCTCTTCAGGCTTTAGTTAGGGTACCAGTATGTGCAATTTGTATATCTCGGAATTTTGATATCGGTGACCTAAGGTCAGGTCAATTTCGCGACCTCCCCATTATAAGTCAATGGGGGAAAAATCAACTCCCTGTTTTTACCACTAAAACGGGTCGGAATGGCCCCATATACCATACATGACTTCATATACGATCAACCTTCACTACCTTGAGGTCTGTTTTGCTGTTGGGCAGCTGTGATGTCATGTGACGTCATCAAAGGTCACTAAAGGTTTTTGGCCAATAACTCCGTACAGGAACAAGATACAGACGCGTGGATGGTCTCATTGTGTTCAGCTCGTCAAGACGCATCGAATGATATACATGATGACCTCAAGGTCACGTGACCTGAGGTCAACCTTTGACCTTGACCTTTCGAGGTCAACATATATATCATTCGATGCGGATTGACGAGAGGATCACGATGATGCCTTTAGTTTGTTCCTATCTTGACTAATTCGAAAGTTATTCGAGAAAAACTCTCTCCATATCTAGTGCCGCCATTTTGACTTTTTCGACCCCTGTGACGTCATCTTTGACCTGACCTGAAAATGACCTTAGTAAAAATTGTAGACCTTGTCCATGCGTATCCGATGCCGTTTACCGCTTGTCGCTATCTTGCTTCGTTCTCGAGATCTCAGGGGGGGGCCGAATCGGCCCCCCCCCCGCCAGTTTCTTGTCCCGGCGGAGCCCGCCAGGAATAGGGTTAAATGTGTCATATTTACCTGCATCCCGATGGTTGAGGTTGTTTTCGTTCAGAAGAAGAGCATTTCAACTGTCTCCCATTGATCCGCGCCGTGCTGGAGGGGGGGGGGGTACGCCCCCTTAGGTTTTTTCCTCGCGAACATCTCAAAAACGGCGTCGCGCAGCGCCTCCGCTGTCTTTGGTACACCTGTTCATACATCTTTTCTACACAGCTTGTTAAATTTCAGATGAGGGTCGTTCAAGGTCAGGTCACTAGGGCACGTCAAGTGACCTTACCTAAAAAAGTTAAAAGACCCGCTATAGCTACACCGACAGAACGATCACTTTTGAAACTTTTAGAGATTGATAAGACTAACAATATGCATAAAATGTTCATCTCGGACTGTTTATGTCTGTGACCTAAGGTCAGGTCAATTTTGGGACCTCAAGTCAGTGGGAGAAAAGTGAAATGCGCCTCTTTTGGACGAATGTCGTTTAAAACCCCTTAAACATCGGTTCATAGGTAAACATAGCACACTGAATCGTAAAAATGCACATGTGTCCTTTTATGTGCCCTTGAGGTCATCTCAGGTCATAAGCGGTCACCTATTTTATCACCATAAACGGTTTTTTGGCTTCATCTTTTAATGGAGACGTGCTAGAGCGGTGAAAACACGTCAGATGTGGTCAGCTCGACGATACGGATCGACTGATCTGCAGAATGGCCCTTTACGGTCAGGTCATGACCTTGACCTGCGGTCAAATTTTTAAAATAACCTTTCAAGGTCAACGTATAATTCATTCGACGCGTCTCGACGAGAGGAACACGAGGCAGGCAAAAGAAATATCGTCACTGTCTTGAACCAAATGTTATTGCAGAAAAACGCTTTTCATAAAAACTGTTATTTTTGGAATTTTTGCCCTCTGGCTGGAGGCTTAACCATTGACCTGAGATCAAATCCGAGAGCAATATTCAGAAAAGCCTGTAAAAGGGCTATCGAATGCGCTTTTCCGCGGCGCTGTAGCTCTATTGGTTCCCGAGTTAGCCGTTGGCAGTTTCCAAAATTGTTGAAATGGACTCAATTTTACCTTTGATGACCTCTGGTGACCTGACCTTTGACCTGACCTAAAAATTGAAACGAAGTCTTTACGTCATTATTTTTGACGCTCTTTCGATTTCCCCTTACCGCGTGTCGCTACGTGGCCCAGGAGCCGAGTTAGAGGGGGGACGTGAAAACACCCCCCCCCCCCCAGCACGACACGGAAAGCACAGGCCACCAGCACGGCGCGGGTTAACTTATAGGTAATCGGTAACTTATAGGTACTTATAGAGAGGTAGCAAAATTGAACTGGCCCTCAATGAAGATATTTGAGAGGCTGCAGTCCACAGGTCATTTTGGTTCAGTGAGTGAACCTGTATGTTTTTTTTTTGCAAAGAATAAAGATTGTGCCAATCAATCAACGCATATTTTACCGTTTCGAATTCGAATGGGTGTGTATTATGAGAATAACATGTCCGTAGCCTGAGCTCGTTTCCTATATCGTGCTAAATATGCATAAAGATTTTTTATCGCTTTTGATAAAAAACACTGAGCTGCAAATTGCATTAATTGGATTTCATGAAAAATCAGCGAAACCTGGTTCTGATACTCGTGCCGGTTCCGTAGGAACACCTAGTAAATCATGCATGAATATATGACGCTACATTTTAGACTGACCCCCTGTCACTAGCTCACTATGGCGCCCCTCTCAAGGGAAAAAGTCGCCCCCTCGAGCACCATGGCCCCCCCCTTTCGCTGATTTCTGGCTACGCCACTGAGTGTGCTTTTATCAGAGCCCAAAACAACGCACCTACTAGTTCACGTTTTGATGTTTCCATTGTTTCAGTTCCTCCTTTGATTATTTGGCTTGGAATCTGCAGTTAAAATAAAGAGTTGTCATGACAAATTTAACGAAGAAGCATATTTGAAGGATTTCATGGTGTGCTGATTTTTTTTTTTTTTTTTTTGCATGCTGCACACAATGGTGCAACCCAGTGGCACACAAGTCATTTACCTACCTTTTATTTGAGAAAAAACATGTCCGTCGTTGTTCCTATGTACAGTTACCTAAAAGGTCGACGCATTATTCTCTGAAGATGGTACGTGAAACCACCAAACGTCATGTATATCCTAGTTCGTGTCGTTGACTGTTGATTAGGTACCATATCCGCTACTGGCAAATGTCAATAGCAGGAAACTGTGTGGTCATGAATCACGTGCAGTGCGCGTCCCTGCACAGCGTCAGCACTGCACTTTCCCTACAAGTTAGCTGCCGTTCATTTCACAATAAACATCGAGTCTCGAGAAATCTATCCTCGTATTTTGGGGGAGGGGGCGGGCTCGAACGGCCCTAGCTTTTATTGCATAGCTCGCGTAAAAACGGCCGATCGCTGAGGGATTTTAATTAAATACATAGGTACTGAATTAGGCCATAGGATTAGGAATATGGGCTCAAGAATTGATGACTAGAATTATGGGTCTGTATCGCCAACTGAAATTACTCGAGACCATGTATGAATGCTTGCACAATGCCTCACTTGTTAGAGCTCCATAGCAACCTCTACATAATTATTGGAATTAGGCAGCTTTATTCCTAAACTTTAGTTGGGTGACTATGGTGTTTTTATCTTCTTCTCCTGTATGATTCCAGACTGGCCGCCATGAGGCTGTGTCCACTGCTGCTGCTGCTGGGCCTGTGTACGGTCCTGGTCAGCTCCTCTTCTGCTCCTGAAAAAGAGGAGCCCACCCAGCAGACTTCTACCACAATTCGCTCCGAAAAGAAACCGCCAGCAAGAAGAATGTCTTTCGCGACTCGGCGCCAGCTGGCGCGCGCGCGCCGAATTTTGGCGCGTGCTGATAGCGTGCCACCGCGCGGAGTGGGAGTGGTCGCCCGCTCGGCAAGAGGGCGCGCCCGGGCCGGCGTCGCGCCGCGCTTCGGAGGAGTGGCGCCACGCTTCGGAAGGGCGCGAGCCTCGGCGCGCGCTGGCTCGGCGGTGGCGCGCGCGGGACCTTTTGGCGCCACCGCCGGCCGAACGACCACTTCTGGCGGGAGCGCCTCATCCTCGAGTGGGCGAGGCGCCTTCGCCTCCGCCTCCTCTGGTGCCGCGTTCGCCTCTGCAGGATCCGCCTTCGCCTCCGCAGGCAGCTCTGAGGAGTATGACTACGACTATGACTATGACTATGACTACGGCGGTTTTGGAGAGCTGCCTCCCGCCCGGCCGGCCCTGTCGTTCGCGATCTTTGACGATACATCGGTGAAGTTCCACAGCAACACAAAGTCGCCGGCGGCGACGGTATCCCCCTGCACCTGGGGAGTGGTCAACTGTTGCAGCAATCCCGACGTAAGGGTGAGTGATCTGGGCTATTTGCGGACTTCGAGGTAAGCGTTGATCAATTTGGGAGTTTATGGGATGTTGGGATACAGTGGCGGATCCAGGGGGGGCAAAATGGGCATTTGCCCCCCCCCCCCAAACGGCATAATTTTAATATTACGCCTATGGACGATGCATGGAAAGAATCGATAAATTTTTATGGTTTGCCCCCCCCCCAAACTTTGAGCTGGATCCGCCTCTATTGGGATAAACGTGACCCAATCTGGACTTTTAAGGGATTTCGGTGTAAGCGTCGTGCAGGCTGGGTTGTGGGATTTGGGGTAAGCAATTTGACAAATGTGGGCCATGCTTGGATGTTGGTGAAGCCCAGTACGGGCTGGTTTCCTGCACGTTAGGTGTGGTTTAATACTGTTTTAGCCCATATGCGCAAGTCCCTAAGCACCGTCCAATCTAGGCTATTGGGGGAAACGGCATCATATTCTTTACATAGGTGACCCCTTTAAAAACCGGGACACATATTATAGCACTAGACCGTTCCGTGCTTCTATCCTCAGGATACTGAAATCCTTCTCCTCCACGCCGCAACCCCCTCCGGGCTGGACAGGCAACTTTATCTCATGCGGGCTGCTCCCTTGGAGCGGCACCGCTGCTCCCGAGGGAGCGCACCCCGTAGCCGGGTGCAGTGAGTGCCTTGGGGCTGGGTGGCCTGTCCTCTGTACGGGCTCAGCCCCGGCGACTCACTAGGGTGCCTACCCAGACCAATGTCTCCCCCTATGTCCTATCATCCTTCCGGCCCTGAAATGGTCTAATTAGACCGAAAGGGCCTAACCCAACAAAACAAAACAAACAAACAAATTATAGCACTTGGTAGATTGGCACACCCTGTCAGCTTGTGTTTCCCGTGTGTATCGCTGCTTTTGACATCGGTACTTATTTATTCACTGTGGTTCTCAACTTTCAGGTCAGCCGAGTGATGTGCTTTGAACGACACGGCTGTTTCGGCTCGTGGTTTGACGACCTCTGCACTCCTACAGTGAAGAAGGGCGTTTTCCAAGAAGTGTTTGGCACTATTCAAGGATAATGCGTAAAAAAGGAAGGCACAATACCTCTGAGGTCTTCATATATTTCACTGATAGATTATCCCGCGCCCTGCTGGGGGTCCTGGATTTCCACGCCCTGCTGGGGGGGGGGGGTGTTTGAACACCCCCCCTTGTAACTCGGCTCCTGGGCCACGTAGCGATACGCAGAAGGCGGCGTTCGAAAGAGCGTCAAAAATAATGACGAAATCACTTCAGTCAATTTTTTGGTCAGGTCAAAGGTCAGGTCACCAGAGGTCATTGAAGGCAAAATTTCGCCGATTTCCAGGTCGAATGTCGAAAATTTCCAAGAAGCCAACGCATAACTCGGGAATCAATAGAGCTACAGCACCGCGGAAAAGCGCATTCGATAGCCCTATTAACGCCCTTTCTGAGTAATTCTCTCAGATTTGACCTAACGTCAACGGTTTTGCCTGCAGGGGGCAAAAACTGCAAAAATAGCCGATTTTTTCGAAAACAGTTTTTCGGCAATAACTTTTGACCCAAGCCTTGTACGAGCTTACTTTTACCGGCATCGTGTTCCTCTCGTCAAGACGCATCGAATGAACTATAACTTGACCTTGAAAGGTCAACTTGAAAATTTGACCTCAGGTCAAGGTCATGACCTGACCGGGAAGGGTCATGTTGCATATCAGTCGATCCGTATCGTCGAGCTGAACACATCTAAGGCGTTTTCATCGCTCTAGCATGCCTCTATCAAAAGTTATTTGCGAAAAACTGTTAGATACCATTCGTGACCTAAGATGACCTCAGGGCATAAACAAGGGTCACGGACACCATTTTCAAGTTCAGTGTGTCTACACCACTTGTAATTCGGTGTTTGGGAGTGTATATAATGTCTTTCATCCAAAAGAGGCGCATTTCAATTTTCTCCCATTGACTTATAATGGGGAGGTCGCAAAATTGACCTGACCTTAGGTCATCGATATCAAAATTCTGAGATATACATTTTGTACATGCTATTGCTCTTAGCAATCGCTGAAAGTTTCAAAGCGATCGGTCACTCGGTGTAGCTATGACAGACATTGAAACTTTTTATGAGGTGAGGTCACTTCAAGTGACCTGGTGACCTGACCTTGAATGACCTTGGTCTGAAATTTTCACAACATGTGTAGAATTGATGTATGATAAGGTGTACCAAAAACGGCGGCGCTCCGCGCCGCCGTTTTTGAGATATTCGCGAAAAACCACAAGGGGGGTGTTCAAACACCCCCCCCCCCCAGCAGGGCGCGGGTTATTTAACGAAAAAAGAAACACAACTTCAGGCTGTCTAGATTTAGAATATAGTTGTTTTCTGAACACCATTTATTTTCAGATGAACCTCAATTGGGTTTACCAGAATAAGCAAGCAATCGCTTTATAACTTATTAATATCAGCTTAATAGACTGGATGGAAGATCCTATTCCTCCTTCACAAAACTCACGGCTGGCTGACAGCAGCGCCACGCTGTGGGTACGGCGACCACATAGGCGTATTTTACGTCGCACTGTTTATACGACACAGCTGTTTCCGTGTTCTGGAACCTCTCTGTTGATCGCCAGAGGACGCCTGGACACCACAGGGTCCGCGTCTCAAGAACGCCTGTGTTTGGATACTGGATGTTCTGTATAAACATGGCGTTAACCTCGTGAATGACCTTGTCATTAGTGTCAGCCTCAGTTGTAGTTGTGTACCCCTACGGGATGTGGAGATAGGATAAAGGTATGTAACATGAATTTTACTTAGTAGGTACAGTGTAAGTTGTATTAGAGATATCACGAGAGTGTGAAATGTCTGTTTTTGTAGCGCCTTTACCTTCGAAAGCAAAGTGGAAAGCTCATACTCTGTAATTAAATCGGTAGATACGTAAAGAGTAAGGTGTAAGTAGTTAAGTAGGCCCTTATCTGAAAGAAATGCATCCGTTGACTGAACGATGTAGTGTTATTCGGATGCATATCAATGTGTACGGATGCAGATAGCATTGTAAGTGGTCGTCTAATTTCGTAGTTTGATTTCGTTTGGACAAGAAAGGGATATGTCTTACAATTGACCCAATTGTGAATATTGACAGCTTTGATTCGTTTCCACATCTTGAGCATTCACTAGTTAGCGTGTTCTGTAGTATAATAATACTATCCACTTATAGCGTTTTCTTGCAGCATGCTCTGTACATCACAACCGACATTTATGGCATGTGTCCGACACGTCTCTATTGCTACGTATCCGTGGTGTCGGATTTTCCGTCCAATAAATGCTCAATACTGCACTAGTTTCATCGATTTGAACAACACACTTTTAAGGACAACTTTAAACGCATTGGGAATGCAAAAGAGTCTCTCGTAAACATACATACATATCGACTATGGAGTGTTATCTAAAGAAATTAATTTGGCCACTGGGTGCTACATATTTCATGGGTAGGTGACGAGACAACTCCTCGACTAATTAATTATACCCTCGTGAGTCACACACACAGTCAGTTAGTAGTATATTATACAATGGCACGGAATCGAAACGAGTCTACCGACTCGTGGTTAAGTAGAGCGATCTACCAGCCCGCGGATGGCTGGAGCACGACGTTCCGGGGCCGCGCCACGACTCTGCGAAGCGGTAGACACCGAACAGATAACTCTGCGTGTATCTACTGTGTTCTGATTGCTACGTTCTAGAGCATCCAAACGCACATTCGGATTCGCCAATTATTTGACGTTAGCTTACATCAAGTCGCAAATGAGCAGCTTCTGGCTCGGTTTAGCCTTAAACTGAGGACGCAAGCACATTCAGATAGCCTAGAGTTTTGACTGAAAGGCTGTTAGAACTTTAAGGTGAAAGCATATTTCACGTCACTTTAGTAACATATTATCACCGCTTACGGTTTTCAATTGTTGCGCAATTAATACAAAAATCAAACAAAAGCAAAGCATCAAAAAGCGATTTCGCAAAGATTTTTCAGTTTCAAAAACGTACACTGCATTGCTTGCCAACACTACTGGTGCTTTCGGAAACACCTGGTTACGTCATCACAAGCGGTGACGTCACACGCGGCTAAAAGTGACGTCATACGCGCGACACACAGTGACCTCACACATGCGGCCGAAAAGGTGAGAGAGCGTTTGAGACACCTGCAAGACCATTTCGACGCCAAACACCGACGGCGGTCCGTACACTGTGACGTCACAATATGACGTCATAACTGAGGCGAACTAAAAGCACAAATGGACGGTGAAATAATGGAATGTGTAGCACATTGAGTTAAGAAGTGTTCTTGACTGCACGTAATCGCAAGGGTACTACGATACACATCGCGCAAAACATTATGCACAGCAAGTAGTTAGCTGCCGCAAGTTCACCACCGAAGGAATGAAAATAGCAAAAAAGAACCAATTGGAGGGAGGGAGGAAGGTGAAGAAACGGACGAAGAACAGCACAGGCTAGGAAAGAGGGAGAGGTAAAATGGGGAAGCAGTCTAAGGAATGTGACATGCTGTCACAAATGATTTGGAATGTTTAATGAACGCCATCCGACCCTTATAGACGTTACCATCACTCCGTAGAAAGAGAGGACCCTTTGGATCAGCTGCTTATCGTTCTGTTCTCGCTAAAACTCAAACTAAGCCTCCCCAATTATAAGGGAATGCAGAGGGCGGGGTCATGTGACCGCTAACAGAGCCCAATTAGCTGCCGGGAGAGAAGGGCGGCGCATAGCACAGGTGGCGCCACTGGACAAAGATGGCGATTCACGCGTGGCGCCCTCTATACCGGCGATAGCGCCATCTATACCAACGACAGCGCCACCTTTTTCTGGTTACAGCGCCACCTATATCGCCGATAGCGCCACCTGTACCACTGAAAACGCCACGCTAGATGGCGTTGGGCCGGTGTGGGCGTCGTCAGCGCCATCTAGAACTCGAGCAGAGGTCCGCTGCCGCTGCCCTCCACGACGTAATTGTCCTCATCGTCTTCGTCGGCGATGTTGAAATCGGCGTCATAGCGAGAGGTCTCGCCATCTGTCGGAGGAAAAAACGAATTAATGGTGTTCAAGTTGCTGTCAGAGACGGTGTTAGAACAATATCAGCGAAGCAGATGATTGTACGATTTGAAATGTTGTTATATGCTAGTTGATATGACGGATTATATTTATAAACCTATATAGCGGTAGGCAGACTGCAGAAGTCAGGGGACGGATGCTTGTGCTTTTTTCATTCTTGATTTATGAGCAACACTTTACCGACATCTGGGTACGAACGTACCGCATCTGGTGTTGCCGCGCCGCGTGCGGGTTCCCTTCTGTTCAACACCGTATCTGTCCGCACACCAGCACTGCGAGCCGTGGCACTGGGTCGGGCGGAAGAAGCCGTCCTCGTCGCAGGCCGGGGTGTAGGCTCCTGGAGGCAGGTCAGGGCAGGTCAGGTCAGGGTATATTAGATCAGGGTAGGTCAGAGGCAGTCAGCTTAGATAACGTCAGATAAGGTGTTTTTTTTTTTCTTAAATTTATTGCAGCGCAAAACAATTACGCCTGCTTCGTATATGCATAAACAATAACATGACACATCGGCAGAAGTCAGGCCGTGGTAGGCGGACTACCTATTCACGATATTCAGGATTGTTATAATACGTGTTTTACCAAGATGACCACCAACTCAGTAACACAGAGAATGAAACTCTCCATACCAGGGTTGCCAGCTTAGGTTGGGTCACGAATAAACTCGGTCACGTTCAATTACACGTTACGCCCGGGCCGGACCCGAAGGCTGGGTATGGTTCAGACTTCAGACATACAGAAATAAGGACATGTGTAGATTGACAGATATACCGGCAAACAGACATATAGATGTATTGATATTCACCACACTCTAACGTACTGAGTCTGGCCGCTGGCGATCTCTGATTGCCAGACACATATACATATACACAGAGGCAGACTGACATTCAGTCCATTCATTCCATTCAGTCCTCCCTCACGTACCGAGTCTGGCGGCGTTCTCCCGTTGACGGTCGTTACAGGGCGCCGGTACAGCCTGGAAGCACGTACACCACTCTCTGGTCGTGAGGAAGATGTCGCTGTGGGGAGAAAGAGAAATGGTGAGAAAGATGTCAATGTAGGGGAGGAATGTGTGTGAGAGTGAGTGAGTGAGTGAGTGAGTGAGAGAGAGAGAGAGAGAGAGAGAGAGAGAGAGAGAGAGTGAGAGAGAGAGAGAGAGAGAGAGAGAGAGAGAGAGATCAATGTGGTGAGAAGTGTAAGAACGATACCGCTGGAGAAAGAGGATAGAAATGTGCCGAAGATGTTGCTGTGGAGAGAGAGAGAGAGAGAGAGAGAGAGAGAGAGAGAGAGAGAGAGAGAGAGAGAGAAGAGAGAAGAGAGAAGAGAGAAGAGAGAGGAGAGAGAGAGAGAGGAGAGAGAGAGAGAGAGAGAGAGAGAGAGACTAGAGAGAGAGAGAGGTGAGAAAGATGCAAATGTAGAGGATCTGAAAGGCATCACTGCGACTTGAATTGTGTACCTGTGGCAGGCAGTTATTATTTTGCGAGTTATTTGCGACAAAACGAGGGTGGTTCCACCCCCCCCCCCCCCTCCATCCCCACCCCCATATGTAAGAGGGCTAATTTCGATATACTTGGATTTTATTCTCTATGGTAGTTACTAGAAAAACAATGCCGAACTCTTTCGAACGGCCACCCAATAGTGAAACGCATAGCCCAAGCAAATAAGGTTGACTTACAATCAGCCTCTCTGAGGCAGATGGCGCTGCAGTAAGTGAACGGAATCCACTACCGACACACTGTTCACATTCTACCGTAATTCTATCATATTCTGCGGTAACAGAGTGTGTCTATTCTTTCCACACTCCCTCCCTGACCCCATAAGAGCTTTTCATTAACAATCCAATCATTCACCCCTCCTTCCCACTCTTTTTCCTTCCCACTCTCGGCTCTCGCTTAGTCGTTCCTATCAAAACCTCTTGTTTTTCTTCCTTGTTATGAACAGGCTCTTTCGGTCTGTAAAAAACACCACAGAGCTATGGGATGAAAGGATACGGCGTATTCACTATACACGTAGTCACTAGCTGTATACGGTACAACTCAGTGGCATGGAGACCGGTGGGACCAGTATGTCCCGATGGGAGACATCGGCCTGCCGCTCTAACGGTCACTCCCGGACAGGGTGTAGTCCAACGGGGTCTTGTCCTCACCACCAGTTGCCTTGTGGGGGTGACCACCAGCACGAGCCAGCAAGAACCAGAGAGGATGCGGATAAACCAGAGAGGAGGCTCTGAATAAAATAAGGACGAATACCTCTTGTTTTGTTGGGTTAGACCCTTTCGGTCCATTGAGACCATTTCAGGGCCGGAAGGATGATAGGAATTAGGGGGAGACATTGGTCTGGGCAGGCACCTTAGTGAGTCACCGGGGCTGAACCCGTCCCAAAGGACAGGCCACCCAGCTCTAAGGTACTCACTGCGCCCGGCTACGGGGTGCGCTCCCTCGGGAGCAGCGGTGCCGCTCCAAGGGAGCAGCCCGCATGAGATAAAGTCACCCGTCCAGCCCGGAGCAGGGGAAAGATACGTGGAGGAGAAGGACTTGTCTGTCCTGAGGATGGAGAACAGGGAACGGAGGGATGGGTTTGTTCCAAGCAAACGAAAATACCCACCCGTCCATATAACTCATACCTGTCCCCCATTACTGACCTGTTGAGGTCGCAACTGTCCAGGAACGGCTTCAGACAGGGCTCATGTTCGTCCCTCTCCACAGCATACAGCTCTCTCTGCGTCAGCTGACCATCAGAGTCGGTGTCCAAGTACAAGAACATCCACTGAGCCATGGGGCGGCACGCAGAGGGGAAGTGCGCTGTGGACAGAGACACCTGGTGGTGATATCTGGTACTGATAGTTCACCACCGTCTGCAGGTAGCCAGGCAGTCAGATTTACCGAAACATTAGGAAGTTACACCTATCGGTGACGTCTGGAAGTTTCAGTTCAGAAGTATTCAGTTCACGATTAGTCGGCAGAATAAGAAACGTTTTACCAGCACGTAGTGATATCGTCACATTACCAGTCTTGAGTAACGCTCCAAGAATTAATAAATATCTGAAGGTAAACACTAAACAGACACGAGAAGAACAAATATTTCAATATTTTCTTGAAAGTTGAGCTCCTTACCTACACCTGACGAGCATTGAGCGTCTAACTTATGCAGACAGACTAAATAGTAATCTTTGAGTCATTAGTGGAGCGTTACCTACCAAACTGCGACCTCCTCCTAAGTAGGTAGGTACTGTTTTACGACCACTTACTGCTGTAGTACTTGTGGTGCTTGTAGTTGGGTTTGACTCCTCCGTTGGTGGATTTGATGACAACAAACCAGTCGGCCAGGCGGGCGCCCATCGCATCGAGCTCGGATCGGGAACACTCTGCGGAACACAGGAGCACGTCAGTTCGGGAACACTCTGTGGGGCAGAGGCATACATCAGTTAGGGAGCACTGTGGGCGCCTAGGGCATCGAGCTTGGATCACGAACGTCGAACACTGTTGAACACAGGAGCACGTCAGAATGGAACACTGCGGGCGCCCATCGCATCGAGCTCGGTTTGCGAACACTCTGCGGAGCACAGGAGCATGTCAGATTGGGAGCACTGCAGGAAGCACAGGAGCACGCTAGATCTGGTAACACTGCGGAAGCACAGCGGAGGGGAAGGGGCACGAAGATACTTAGAAGCCAGTTTTACAAACATAAAAATAGCCGCCTGACGGATTTTTTCTTTCTTTTTTGCTATAGACCGCATTACCGTTTACGCTCCGTATGTGGAGCGGTCTTTTAAAAAATATTCCGGCAGGCGGCTATTTTTCTGTTGGTAAAACTGGCCTAAGCTCTTGGAATACTGAGAGATTGGCAACAAGTGATAGTGAAAAAATCATGGCATCGGTCCCGTCGGGCTTAGATCGGGAGCGCGCCGCTCAGCAGAGGAGCACTCATGTATGCAGAACACTTATTTAGTCGTGCAACTTTTACTATCTTGTGAAAAAAAAGGTTAAAGTCTGATGCTCATTGGCATTTTAAAATTGTTATGGTCGGCAACAACATTCATTTTTCAAAAATATAAAACGTATTTAATTCATAATATTCCCCACTACTCCCTCTGTTGGTACTTGTTCAATGTTCACCCGGTCACCGCCCTTGGGGTAGCCGATACACCACTACTTACTCTAATATACCCCACTACTTACTCTGTTGGTACTTGTTCACCCGGTCACCGCCCTTGGGGTAGCCCATACACCACTACTTACTCTACTTATACCCCACTACTTACTCTGTTGGTACTTGTTCACCCGGTCACCGCCCTTGGGGTAGCCGATACACCACTACTTACTCTACTCATACCCCACTACTTACTCTGTTGGTACTTGTTCACCCGGTCACCGCCCTTGGTGTAGTACTTGACATTGTTGTAGGACTTGTGCTCCTTCTGGTACTTGTCGTACTGCAAAAAAAAACACCCTCAGAGGTCAAATGTTGAACTAAACACAGGGTTCGGGATATCTGGCAGCGCAGCAGTGAGAATGGGTGTAATTGTTCTGTTTCTGTAACAAGATGATGGTATTTGGGATACGGTACTACAGGCCTACAGATACCCCAGCAAACATGCCCACATGGGTCCCATATGGGGTGAACATGGGCCAGATGGGCCCACATGGGACATGGGCTATAGATGGGCTACCCATATGGGCCCCATATGGGATAAAAATGGGCCAGGTGGGCCAAACGCATGTGGGCTGGAGATGGGCATCCCATGTGGGTCCCATATGGATCACCCATGTGGGCCCCATTTAAGTTACTCCAAGTGCATAAAAGCAAAAAAGGTGGCTGTTGTTCATGTGTATTTTGGACTCCAAGTATATCAAATTCATACATGATGCCATATGGGGTCAATGTAGGCTGGCCCATATGGGTCCCATGTGGGCGCCGCGTGGGTCCCATATGGGGCCTACGTGGGCTGGCCCATGTGGTTCCCACGTGTCACCCACTGGTATTCCCATGTGGGGCTCATATGGAAGAGGTGGGGGGGGGGCATGTGGGCCCCACATGGGAACCATGTGGGCACACTGAAAACTTTTTTACTCTCCCCTGGAGAGTAAATCCGCTGGGAGGGAGTACGAGGCACGCAGACGTTTTTTACCACGTACCGCGGGGTAAACTTTTCTAATTTATTCTCTTCCAGAGGATAAATCCGTTATTTTACTCTTGACTTAAGGGTAACACTTTGGTATTACCCCCCACCACTGAGTAAATATATTCCTTCCCGGGGAGTTTACCCCCCAGGAAAGAGTAAGGTGTCCACAGACGTTTTTTACCACTCTCCAGAGGGTAAAAACTTTGTATTTACTCCTTCCCAGGTGGTAAATCCGTTGTTTTACTCTTGGCTGAAGGGTAACACTTTGATTTTACCAACCACCATGGAGTAAATATACTCATTCCTGGGGAGTTTACCCTCCAGGAAAGAGTAAGACGTCCACAGACGTTTTTTACCACTCTCGAGAGGGTAAAAACTTTGTATTTACTCCTTCCCAGGTGGTAACTTCTTCAATTTACTCTCGTCCCGAGAATAATACGTCCCCTAAAATATCGTCAGTAGGGTAAAATAATTGTACTCCTTGGGTGTTTATCCCGACGAGAATAGTAAAAAATCCAACTGACCCTTCACATCGGAGTAAATTTTACACTCTTGCAAGGAGTCATTGCAAGGGTAATGGTTTACCCTACCATACATGGTAAACTCGTATCGTGTTCTCCGTGGAGGCACCTTATTTGACATGAAAATTTAAAAATTAGGCGGAAAAGTGGATTTTTATCCCCACTAAGTTTCTAAATTATCAATGAAAAATATAAGGTGAGCGCAACATTACACATCAATGACACGGATACCAGACACTAACACCTATTCTCTACGCAGTCCTATAATACAACCAACCAACATTCACTGTCTTCATAAGTATGCTCTGTATTGTCGAAACAACAACGCAAGTACACTGCAACACTAATGTGATACATCACAGCCGATCACTTGAAAGGTGAGACAACTCAGCCTAGCTCAGGCTAGCTCGAAACACTATAAAACTTTAAACGTCAAAAGTACGGTATGCGTCACAACGTTCTCGACGGATAGCTTGATGGAAGGGTAACTTTTTAACGTGACCCTCCTCTAAAGAGTAGCATGCCATCTACTCTGTGATTTACCACCTTACAGAGAGCATATTCTTCTGGATTACCCTTAGTGACATGGTAATGTTTACGCTTTCCTTTAGTGTAAACCCCCCCCCCCCCCCCCAGAGGATGGTAACGGACCCACAGACGCTCTTCAGAAGCTTCGCGAAGCTTCTGTTAACCGGAGCTCATCAACTAAAAAACATGCTTCAAGAGCAACAATACATATTTGGCATTCCGTACAAACAATACGAGGGGTTCACTGCAGCCATGAACATTGTGAGACTCCACTTATTCATACGCGTTCAGCGATGCACACGAGGTAAACAAACATCACGATACAACTTGAATGCAACTTGAATACGAATACTCAAAATGAATGCTTGAATATGAATAAGAATTCAGCTCCCTCAAATTGGATAAGGCACAGCCCACAACATTTGAAGTGAACGGCAGCGTTCCTGGGTGGTCGCCCGTCTACGTGGGATAATAAAACTGCATCACTACAGTATATATCTTTTTCTAAGTCACCAACAAAATGCATCACAACAAAGCTTATGTACAGCCCACCGCTAAAGTAATGTAGGGTTTTACCAAACTCAACGGTTGGCTTTGACTGGCGATTGTTTAATGCGAAGTGATTGAAAAGAAGATGTCAATAGCTAAAGTTGCAGCTGCAAGGGTGACGATACATATAAGCTACATTCAAAGTTTCATTGTAGTCTGGCTAATCGTTCCTAAGCTTCAGAAGCAGAACATACCCATGACCAGTGGCGTAGACAGGGGGGGCCATGGGGGCCATGGCCCCCCCTTTCCGCCCAGCCGCCCAGATGGCGCCCCAATTAGCGCCGACCAGGCTGATGCCGTTTTACAGAGGGAACATGAATTAAAAAGCGATGTGCAGGCAGGGATCGAACTCAGTATCTATTTAGGGGTGCCTGGACACCCCAATGTTCTCCAGGGCACCCCCAAATAGGACCTGAGCCCCCCAATGTTTAAGGGCGCCCCTCCGGAAACCAGAATAGGTATTCCGAACCCCCAGGGTCGATGGCGCCCCTGAAAGCCGCTGGCACCCACCTGAACGGAACAGTCGCCCCATTTACATAAGGTTGATTGCACCCCTCTAAAGTTCACAGCTGCCCCATTCGGCCCCATCCAAGGTCGATGGCACCCCCTGAAACCACTGGCGCCCCTCTAAAGCACCCGCATTCTTCTCAAGATCACAGTCGCCCTGATCAATAGCACCCTCAAGAGAGCCACTAGCGCCCCCCTTGAGACTGAAGTCGTCCCGCTTGAGACTAAAGTCGCCCCATTCAAGCCCAATGACGCCCCTCCAGAGCGTCCGGTGCGCTTCTGAAGATCACAGTCGTCCTCATCCGAGGTCGTCAGTCACAGTCGACTCATCCTCAAAAGTCGCTGGCGCCCATCTAAACGGAGATCACAGCTACCTCATCGTAAGATCGATGGCAACCCTCTGAAACCAATGGCGCCCTTCTAGAGTATCCGGCGCCCCTCTGAAAATCATATTCGCCCCCTCCCCGACAACGCCCCTTGAGACTACAGTCCCCCCACCCAAGTTCAAGGCGCCCCTCTAGAGCGTCCGGCGTCCTGCTGAAGGCAACAGCGGCCCCATCCATGCCCAATGGCGCCCCTCAACGCCCTTCTAAAGATCACAGTCGCCCCATCAATCCAAGGTCGCTGGCGCCCCTCAAGAGCCACTGGCGCCAACCTAAACCGGGACTTCAGTCGCCCCATCCTAAATCAATGGCGCCCCTCTGAAACCACTGGTGCCCCTCTGAAGATAACAGTCGAATCATCCGAGATCATTGGCGCCCCTTCAGAGCGTCCGACGCCTTACTGAAGGCAGCAGTGACTAAGCATTACACCCCTCTAGATCACCCGGTGCCCTTCTGAAGATCACATTCGCCCTATCCGAGTTCGTTGGCGCCCTCTAGTAGTCACTGACGCCCATCTGAATGGAGACTTCAGTGGCCCCGCCCCATTCAAGATCGATAGCGCCCCCCCCCCCGAAACCACTGACGCTAGGTAGGTAATTATTTGACAATGGGGCTGTCTCATCGACACCAAGGACCATTTTCAAGATGCAGCAGCCAGGCGGCGCCGAGCTGGGCTAGGATGTGCCAAGCGTTTCTTATAAGGCAGCCTCGTTAGTGCCACCCCTCGTTGCGATACCGCCCCTCAATGCGACGCCGCCCATTCACCGTATGTACAATGCCACCCCTCAATGCAAATGCTGCCCCCCAGCGTATTGCCGCCCATTATTGTGATGCCGCCCCCGCCTAGCAGTGCGGTGCCGCCCCAGCGTACGCCACACCGACGGAACGATCACTTTTGAAACTTTCAGAGATTGATAAGACTAACAATATGTATAAAATGTTTATGTCGGACTTTTGATATCCATGACCTAAGGTCAGGTCAATTTTGCGACTTCTCCATTAGGTATAAACCAATTGGAGAAAATTGAAATGCGCCTCTTTTGGACGAATGTGGTTCAAAACCCTCTCAAACTCGGTTCATAGGTAAACATAACACACTGAATCGACAAAATGCACCTGTGACCCTTCTGTGTGCACCTGAGGTCATCTCAGGTCATGAACCGTCACCAGCATTTCTTTGGCTATACCTTTTGATAGAGACGTGCTAAAGCGGTGAAAACACGTCAGATGTGTTCAGCTCGACGATACGGATCGGGTGATATGCAACATGACCCTGTCCGTCAAGGTCATGACCTTGACCTGAGGTCAAATTTTCAAAATGACCTTTCAAGGTCGACGTATAGTTCATTCGACGCGTTTCGACGAGAGAAATACGATGCTGGCAAAATAGATGTCGTCACTGTCTGGAGTCAAAGGTTATTGCAGAAAACGATTTTAATAAAAACTGTTATTTTTTAGTTGTTTCCCTCTGGAGGCTAGTGGCAGTCAGTCACTGGAGGCAGTCATGCATGTCCACAAGTAGGGGCTGCACGCACTAGACATCGAATTGTAAAGGTGATGTGTAGAGAAAAAATCCAGAACGTATGTCAGCGTTCGGTCGCCTCTGACTGCAGTCGCTGCTGGTATGACAATGAGTTGGGATCTCATGGTGGATCTCATGGTCTTAAATGTTCAAGTCTTTCCTTGATTCCAATTTAGGCAATAAGCCGCAACGTGTATCCTACATACGTGCGCTCTGAGATTCTAAACACGGCAACCCCGGTCGACCGACCACAGGCTGCAGCCCACAGGTCACTTCGGATCAGTGAGTGAGTCCGTACATATCTTTTTCTTTATTTTTGCAAAGAATAAATATTCTGCCTATACGATCAACGTATAGTTATTTTCCCGTTTCGAATTCGCATGGATGCGTATTTTGAAAATGAAATGTCCGTAGTGTGGGACCGATTCCCTTCTTCCATATCATGATAAAGAGAGTACACGTTCAAGCTTTGTTACAATGAAATACCCGTCACTTTCCCCTTCGTGACGGCACCGCCCGACGACCTAGATATACCAGAAGGTCGGCGGACCGGTCCTTCATTGTGCAACCACCTTGCATATAACGCAGACGCACTGGCGAACCCCAACCAGTCTACCAGTCGACCACAGTTGCAATACAAGTCTCGGCCCGCTCAGTCGTCTCTCCTTCCGCGCCTCCGCGACAATGGTGGCAGCGGCGGTCGAGGGGACTTGTGCCCCTCACCACGGACCCCAGCCTCTACATCTGCACTGACATCGCAGACTGGTTAGTCCGTGCTCCGTGACAGTGTATCGCCCCTACGTCGCGTCATCGACTAGGGAGCTGACCATCCTGGACTCGTCATCGTCCAGCAGCACCGTCTCCAGTGAGTAGCTCTGCCCAGCAAGACTATCTGCCCTGCGGCAAGGTCATCAGCTTCCCTGGACTACTACGGAGCCCGCCGACAGCGCACGGCTCATCAGCCCGCGCCGTCCCACTCAGCATCATCGAGTGATGGACACCACCTCGCTGAAGGACTCAAGCTCGGAGGAGAGAAGATAAAACAAAAACTTCAACGCTAAATTCAAGACAAATTGGCACCGAAATCAAGAAAGTTCACCCATTATGAACTTTTGCTGTATTTTCGTCAAAAAGTGACAATGAAATTGTGCTGTGAAATTTGTTTTAACTTCGATGTGTTTCAAAAAGCGTACTGTTTCATTATCCGTTTTCGTCAGTGTTCTGTCGTTTGTTGCACTTCATTGTGGTTGCTCACCCCAAAATTCACGGAGAAATTGCAAGTGCGTTTAATTTTTGCCTGCACTTTGCCGTGTCATTTTGACACTAGTAAACGTAGAAAGAGCATACTCTGAACGGTATGAACATTCAAATACGTTAATCGTCGTCAATTCACTGAATTTATATTGTGTTGATATTCGGCCAGAGATGCCGAGGGCCATGGAGATGCCCAGGGACGGTCCCCGCCAAGAGTGCGGAGGGATCGCCCGGTAGTAGGTGTAATTGTCACGAAACTTACTTATCTGTTCATACCATTTTGTGATACGCTCATATGGAAATTTCTTTCTCCGTCAGCTAAACGTTTCCTCTCTTTGTTATGATCGCTTGGGTTCCCTACGCTTCCCTGGGGGAGGGAAGATAATGTGGGACCGATTCCCTTCTTCCATATCATGATAAAGAGAGTACACGTTCAAGCTTTGTTACAATGAAATACCCGTCACTTTCCCCTTCGTGACGGCACCGCCCGACGACCTAGATATACCAGAAGGTCGGCGGACCGGTCCTTCATTGTGCAACCACCTTGCATATAACGCAGACGCACTGGCGAACCCCAACCAGTCTACCAGTCGACCACAGTTGCAATACAAGTCTCGGCCCGCTCAGTCGTCTCTCCTTCCGCGCCTCCGCGACAGTAGTCTGAGCTCGTTTCCTATATCATGATAAAAATTCATCTAGATCAAGGTTTTTTATTTAAAAAAAAAAACACCAGGCTGCAAATTGCATTAATTGGATTTTATGAAAATCAGCGAAAGCTGGTTCTTATGTATTTTGCAACACCTATAGTAAATCATGCATGAACATGACGTTACATTTTAGACTGACACCTCTGTCACTAGCTGACAATGGCGCCCCTCTCAAGGGAAAAAGTCGCCCCCTCGAGCACCATGGCCCCCCCTTTCGCTGATCTCTGGCTACGCCACTGCCCATGACTGAAACCCCACATTACTTCTGCTGTGGACTGTACCTACTTACAACACTCTGCCACGTGGCCGTGCGCGGGATCTGTAAGCCAGATCAAACTAGCACCACTCAACAGCACGTAATGCTCCATCACATCGGTACTTACAATAAAATGTCCGCAGAGGCTCTATAGGCGATGAACAGCACACAAGCACAATCACCAACGGCCATCTCGCGCCACACCGACACTGCGCACACCCTCTCTCGGAGACCAACGGCGGAAAAGTGACAGATGCGCGCGGCCTTCAACCTTCAAACGGCCGATCTCGTCTTTGATTGGCTGATTGATACTCTTTCAAATATTATATTCACGAGGGTAAACAAGATCCACGCATGGAACGACCACCTGCACACGAGTCACAATACCTAGGAGGAAAGAGTTTTCGTCCTGTTCAGGATTGCGAGAGTAATATTGATATTTACATGGTAATAATACTCTTTGCTGGCGAATAACTTCAATTTACCCACGAACCGTTACCATGCACATAATGGTAGCAGCGAGGTACCCTTTAAATATACTCTTGTCTTGCGGGTTCGGTAAAAATAATCCTCCAGGAGGTGGTAAAAAAGTTTTGAGTGCATGTTTGCTGGGATATGAACATTTCCTTTACCACAAAATTTTGGTAACTGGCCCGACACCTATCTGGGCTGGATGCGGGCAGCATGTGGGCAGACTGGGCACCAACAAGCTGGGCACACCCATCCGAGGCCCACATGGGGCCCAAATGGGCAAACTTTACTACAAAACTTTGTTAACTGACCCGACACCTATCTGGGCTGGATGCGGGCAGCATGTGGGCAGACTGGGCACCAGCAAGCTGGGCACACCCTTCCGGGGCCCACATGGGGCCCAAATGGGCAAACGCCCAGCCAGCATGCCCATGTGGGCCCCACATGGGCAGTTGATGGGCATGGTGGGCTAGGTGGGCCATGGGCTAGAGATGGGCAAATATGTGGGCTGCATGTGGGCCCCACATGGGCTGCCCACATTTTTTGGCAGGCATAATGATTGATAATGAGATTGCTTGCACCATGTACGAGGGCATATCCAGGAATTTTGGTGAACACAGGCATTCACGCGGTGTTCCTGTATGGTGGGCTTAACATGGGCACTGCGTGGGCAGCCCATGTAGTGGGGTGTAGGTGGGCTGGATGTGGGCAGCCCATTATTTATTTTTTCACTGTCCAATGTGTATGATATTACAAGAAAAAAGAACTCGCCGTTTAGTCTCATGCCTCCAAAATACACTTCGACGTCGTGAGGAAGTCGCATAGTTGATGTTTGTGAGACCAGCTACGGCTGATGTTGGATAGTCAATGTTGTGATTGTGTCGTATGATTATGTCGCCTGAGCCGGCCAATGCGCGGGCGACCCGCCGGCGGAGCTCGGCCCACCGGACGGGGCCTGGGGCCGCCTCTGCACCGCCCGGGGCGGTGACCGGCCGACCGGCCGGTCGGCTGTCGGGGCTGCGGCGTCTGGGCGGGCCAGTTGGCGTTCAGACTCTGAGTGGTGTGCGTGTCCAATAAAGCCTTATTAAGCCACGGGAAGGTCGGCCTTGGGAAGACCAAGCTGTTCCGGGTGATCTTCTGTGAGTACCTTACAGTTTGGTGGTCACATGGGAATGGGTCATTCAAATAAGTAATTTGTCAATTAGAAAAGCATAATAAAGGTTCCATGCGTGACATCAGTCACAAATGGTTTGACACCAGCGTTGATGTTCGATTTAATGAGTAAACATCGCGCTCCTCGTTCCGCACCGTCTGTATCAAAACTAGCCAAAGTCGGTCTCTGGTCCTCCGTTTGAAGTGGCTGCGAAAATTACGGGAAACATTTAATGTTTGTTTCGAATATTAGTTAAAGGGACAATGTCATGTTGAAATTTGATATTTCGTAGCCCCCACCTTTCTGTTCAAGGAGCTGAAGACCGATTCTCGAAGTTCGACACCGTTCTCCCGCTATCGCCCCTCAATGTACGAAATGTGTGCACGCTTTGAATCGCGCATCAATATCCTCAATGTTTCAATGTGTGCGCCGTTTCGAATTGGCCTCCAATAACAAAACTTTCCTGGATCTTTTCTTTAAACTTTATAAAGTCAACACGTTTTTCCCACATTATCCTCAACGTTCACTTCCATTAAATACTCGTAGGTATTTCCCAGGACTTTTCACTTCGCAAAAAAGTTAACAAGTTGATAGTGACGGTTCGTTCAAAAAGCTCTTGCAAAATGTTTCCCCGATTTTGGTCCTCAAACTATCCATTTTTGATTCATGGAAATTCAGCAACGGTAGTAAAATAAGGAGGCTCCCTGGCTTCCAATTTTTTATAATGACTGTCCATTTAAATGGACAGTATCACCATTTTGATGAGATTTGACATTGCATAGGCCCCACCTTTCTGGTCCGGGAACTGAAGACCGATCCTCGAAGCTCCACACCGTTATCCCGCTATCGCCGCTCAAAGTACGAAAGGTGTACCACACTTTGAATCGTGCTTCACTATCTTCACTGTTTAAATGTTTGCGCCGTTTTGAATTGACCGCCAGTAATAAAACTTTTACCCTGGTCATTTCATCAAATTTTATAAAGCCAAAACGTTTTTCGCACTTATTCATCACCGTTAAATTCATTAAATAGTCGTAGGCAATTTCCGCTGTTTCCTTCGGATTCTAGCGGCTCAACAAAGGAATTCCTCCAGCTTGAATCACAATCTCCCTCCAATGTATGACGTTTATCACGTGATTGTCACGTGATATTTTCTCCCATTGTCAATTGTCACGTCCAATTGTCACTCCCTCCAATTGTCACGTTATATTTTTTTAGGGAATATCTAAGGCTACCTCTCGCTAAGGAAAACTCAATCAGAAGAACGACCGCGTAAGCGTAGCGTCAATAATGTATTATCTGCGCCAGTTTTGTAGTAATTTTGCATGCTTCCAAACTGGCGGCCATGCTTGTATAGTGGTGGTTCGCTCATGAAAATGAATCATGAAAATGAAATGTGGTTGCAATATTTTTCACCGAGTTCGGTCCTCAAACTATGTTTTTCTGATTCAGAAAAATAAGAAATGCTAGTAAAAAAAATCAGCTCCATACATGGATTTTTTTTCGATGATACTGTCCCTTTAACGCTTATCAGATAATGTGCTTACATTGTGGCTTTCTTAGCGTGCCCTATTTATTTCACAGACGCTGTCAACCTGAACCCGACGGTGACCTGCCAAGAAAAGGATCTCGAAAAGGCCGTCGGCAAGTGGCTGACAAACTGCCGCGACCGTGACGGCCAGCGATCAGACCGGGGGCGAGGCCGTCCGCCCGCCCAGTGACTTGTGTCTCGATGAGCGCAGAAAGAAATACAGGACTGTGCCTGATGTATGTTGTTTTTATGGGAATAAAGTGCTGGAAGGAAGCATATTTCGTCTCGCATGACATCGCACATTGACGGACAGTGCGAGAGCACCGCTGAACGTCAGGCTGGGAGGGGCACTTTCAAATGGGAGCGTAACGTGGATTGGGTTTACATAGATTCAGGTGGGTGGCGTATATGGGGCCGGGTGGGGCAGGCATTGTAGGACAGGGCGGGTGCTGAGTGGCGAGTGGGTCCCATGTGGGGCCAGTGTGGGGTAGCCCATGCGGGTGGCGAATGGGTCCCATGTGGGTGGCAAATGGGTCCCATGTGGGTGGCAAATGGGTCCCATGTGGACTCCCAGGTGGGTGGCAAATGGGTCCCATATGGGGTCAGTGTGGGCTGGCCCATATGGGTCCCATGTGGGCGCCGCATGGGTCCCATATGGGGCCTACGTGGGCTGGCCCATATGGGTCCCACGTGTCACCCACTGCCATTCCCATGTGGGGCCCACATGAGTGGCCCACGCGGGACCCATATGTAAGAGGTGGGGGGCCCATGTGGGCCCCATATGGGAACCATGTGGGCATGTTTGCTGGGACATAGAGAAACGCTCATCTCTTAGTATTTGCCAACTGATAAAGCGAAGAGCTAAAACCGGCAATAAAGTTTGTAGAGCCTATAGTCTTATTGAACTTAATACCATTTAATTGATTATATATTGTCAAACAATTTAGTGTAGGATTTCTAAAAAAATAGGCATCCTGATTTAAAACTTGTGAGAAGCCGAAGTTAGTTTAGTGAATTGCTATTTATTTTAGAACCAGACTGAAAGGAAAACATATGTTGTTAACCCGCGCCCCAGTGGCGGTCTCAGCCAACTTCGCCCTAGTGGGGGGGGGGGGGCATATGTTACCACCCACCCCTAACTCAAAAACTAAGAGGGCTAGAAAGACTCGGTAAAAAGCAATCGATAGCTCTCAATGCGTATTCAGTCATTTTTCATCTTAGAGCAATATTGGGGTCACTGGAGGTCATCAAGGGTCAAAATTTGCCAAATGTCATTATATTTTTCCGAAAACATGCATTCTCAGGAACTATGATAGTTAGAAAAACGCATTAAAAAGCAATCGATAGCTCTTGAACTCTTCTTTCGATAAGGTCATCATCATTGACCTCAGGTCAACGGTTTAGCCTCCAGAGGGCAAAAACTCCCAAAATAGCTGTTTTTACGAAAAGTGTTTTTCGACAATAACTTTTGACTAAAAAACGCCACGACATTTTTATTGCCAGAATCGTGTTCCTCTCGCCAAGACGCATCGAATGAACTATAATTTGACCTTGCAAGGTCAACTTGAAAATTTGACCTCAGGTCAAGGTCATGACCTGACCGGAAAAGGTCATGTTACATATCAGTCGATGCGTCTCGGCAAGACAAACACAATGAGACCATCCCCAGCGTTCTATCTCTTTCCAATCGAGAGTTATTGGCAAAAATCAGTTTGTAGCCTCAAATGACCTCGGATGAACTTTCTAGAGGCTATCAGCAAAAACGACACCTTGGTCGTCACGGGTGGTCCAAATCATTGTGATTCTGAAATATTTGGACTGTTCCTATGCGTACACACGGATCTAGAGACATTTTCATTTTTCTCCATTGACTTAAAATGGTAAGGTCACGCCACTGACCTGACCTTAGGTCACGGATATAAAAAATCCGAGATATACAAATTGTAGGCGCCCATTACATCATGCAATCCACCAAGTTTTAAACCTTTCTGACAAACACTGCAGGCTGGACATGACTGCAAACTTTTTTAGGCTTGGTCAGTTAACTTGACCTGGTGACCTGACCTGACATGACCTGGGGTCAAAAATTTCACACATTGTCCAAAATTGATGTGCGAAAATCTATCCCAAGCGGCGCGGCGCTACGCGCCGCGGTTTTTTATTCACACGCGAAAAACGCGACAGGGTGGTAACATATGCCCCCCCCCCCACTGGGGCGAAGGTTAAAAAGAAACGTTACCTTTGTTCACAGCCTAACATCACTACACCCATTGCATTGCAGTCCTGGACAAACCATAAACCATACAAATCCACTACTCCCTACCTTGCTCCGCAGCCTAGCCTTTGACGATTTCTTCGAAGAGCCATATTTCTGCTTGGACTGGGAGGCCGTCTCGAACAGTTTCTGCTTTCGCCGCTGGTTGGACGTCGTCTCTGTAGGAAATGAGAGGTTAACGTGAAGGTCAATGTCTTCGTATGGGTTGATCAAGACATGCAGAGCTGGCGAAGAAGGTATCTTCAAAAATTCACATTGAAGAACAAAAATTTAAAACAGGAATAATAAAGTTATTTCGCTTCTTGCATCGCATCTCGAATACGGGATAGCTTCTTCCATTGCTGCCTTTGTCGGGGTCGAGTGAGTTGGTAGTTGGTACCCATCTTTGCAAGGACATAATCTCTTGAGGAGGCTGCTTTTCTTTAGAGAGAGAGAGATTCTTTACAAGGACAGAATCTCTCTCTCTCTCTCTCTCTCTCTCTCTCTCTCTCTCTCTCTCTCTCTCTCTCTCTCTCTCGCTCTCAGCCTCTATCCCATACCTTTGCAGGGACAGAAGCCCTTGCAGTTGGCGGTAACCAGCGTGTCGTGGATGCAGTTGTGCTGCTCCAGACGGCACAGGGAGCTGTAGGTACGGTTGTCCGTACCACAGATGTAGGCGGAGACGCTGGGGTGGGTGTACGGACACTCGTGGCACTCCCTGTGGGGAGTGGAGACACTCAGTGAGTGATACTCTGGTAAGTACTCATGTGAGTTAGAGACACTCGCTACACTTCTTGCGGAAGATTGTACACACAGGTGTGTACATCCCGAGGCTTTAACTCGAGGCTATAACTCGATCACCGTTACTCTGACGGACCTGAAATCCTCAGAATCGGCTTCTGCACACAGGAGTACCCTAAATACCAATTTTCAAGAAAATCCAAGAAGGATGGGTGTTATGCACCTGTTGAATCGTCCTGGAATGCCCCACCTGGAACCGAGTAAAGGCCTGGCCATACTATGCGTTTTCTGCGTGCGTTTTTTTTTCGGGTTTGCGTGTTTTGCGTAATATCGTTCTAGAAAAAGGATTAAAAATAAAACTTTTTTATTAGTTGTATACACACGTTCATATAACTCTAATATTAACTAAAATTACATGTAAAAAAAAAACAGCACAAAAACGCAATATCATTTTTCTAGAACGATATTACACAAAACACGCAAAACTGCAAAAAACTCACCCAGAAAAAAGCATAGTGTAACCAGACCTTAATATAACTAAGATAACACTGGTATAAAAGAAAAGAAAGGACGTGCGGCTTTCTTCGGCAAAGGTAACCAACGACAGGTGATGATTTTGTCAGACAATATAGGATAATTTGTTATGAGTGATTGATTTCATAAAGTGGGCCATGTAGAGGATAAGGATGCACTGAGAATGTAACTCAATTTTACTCCTTATCAAGCTAGCACTATCTATGTTATCACTTTTTCACTTACTTCTCCTTCTTCTCCTCTTCGTTCATCCTCCGATCCGCCTCTTCATCATCATCTTCCTCCTCATCCCCCTCCATTTCCTCCTCATCCTCATCATCATAGTCATACTCATCATACTCCTCTCCATCATCCTCTTCATCGAGGTTGATTTCATCCTCTTCGTCCTCGTCTTCGTCAATGAGGGTATCCTCCTCATCCGACCAGGGTTCGGACTTGATGAGGTTCTCGTCCTCAGCCAGCTGTCGGCTGATGATGCGGTCTCTGAGAAAGAAGGGGAGAGATGTTAGAGAGGGGAGGGTGAGGGATAACAGTGTGGAGATGTGCGAAAACAGGGAGTGAAGAAATCCGCGAGGGAGTTTATAAGCTTACAAAACGAGTAGGTACAATTACAATTGCAGTTGACTGCAGAATGTTTTAAATCCAAGACAATCAGAAATGTCTAGAATGGTAACTAGGCTGCGCTGTATCACACAGGATGTGTATTGTGTACCATCACTGTGACCATACGCTCACCAAAGTCACTGTTATTTGCATGAAAAGCAATCAAACCTAGCGACTCAGCGTTCCAGTCAAGTGATAGCTTGTGAGAAGTAACACGTCCTTGAGCAATCCATTGTATGCACTGCTATCATCATATGAAACATAGCTTATTCCACCTCTACCACATACAGCTGGTAGTATCCTCCATTGTTTTGCTTCAACTATCCCCCCGATAGCAATCCCAGCTCCAACTGAGCTCTGTCGCAGAACCACCCCACCACACAGAGTGCCTCAGAGAGCTGTAAGCCAGCACAGAGTGAGCTCAGGGAGGCTCAGGAGCTGACCTTGGCGTGATTTACAGATCGGGGAGGGAGGATGTTGATGAGGATATCTGATGTTCAGCATGAACCGCCCGAGGGAAAACTGCATCAGTGGAGAGAGAGAGGACAGAGAGCGGAGAGAGAGAGAGAGAGAGAGAGAGAGAGAGAGAGAGAGAGAAAGAAGAGGGAGAAAGAGAGAGAGAAAGAGAGAGAGAGAGAGAGAGAGGGAGATGAAGAAAGTGAGAAAGAGAAGAGCGAGAAGAAAGCCTAAGTAAGAGATCGAGTACAGTCGTGTACAGGTTGATGGTCCCCTACTCTTTATCCACCGGGTTCCTATGGCTCAGCATTGGCAGCAGCCGCCTGGTACCGGTAGGCTGTACCGCATGACCCGAAAGTTATGCGGCACAGTCTACCCACGCCGTTTGACATCGGCTCGGGTCGCCGGGTGGAGCGCTTTGTAGACCAGCTGTCACGTCAGACCAGCGCGGGGGGAGGGGCTCGTCTCGGTGGTTGGCGTGGGCTGGGGAGTGGTGTGGGGCGTGTTGGTGGACCATGGGGGCTGGGCGGGTTGTGTGGTCACTTGCTGCATTGCACATTTTGCGTCGCTTAACAATTGCATTCCTGTTTTTGCTAAGCACAATGCACGGAAGACCCAGCGAATATAATTGACTTGTGCATTGTGCAAAACGTGATTTGGCACGGTATCGAGGCAACCATAGGTCTTGTGCCACATACCTATATGCATGGTATTTAGGCAATACGCTTATGAAAATAGTAGATTGATCCTGGATGTCAATTCGTATGCTAAATGTCGACATGTAATAAATGAACGAATGAATGAATCAATCAATCAAACGACAATCGACATGTAGATATAAAACCGTATAAATGGCTCGCAACCACTAAAATCAAACCAGATCCTAACTCGGAAAAGTAGCCGGAGCCCCGATGAGGCTCGAACCGCGGACTCCACGTTGAAAGTTTTGCCAATGATCCATCATCATTCCACCAAGCTAGAGCGACCGGCACCCGAAACCACAAAACCATTCATTGACTTTGCTGCCGACCTCCCGGCCCCGCCGCCCGCCCGGCCAGACTTTGCCCCGGCCGTGGCCACCATCCGGTGTAGCTCAGCGTAGGAGCGCTAGACTGTCAAACTGACCGGTAGTGAGAGGCCCGGTTCGAGACGCTTCGCGTGCTGGATGTTTATTTCTGTGTCCGAGGCTATGCGATTAGTCCACTTTTCAGAAAGATTATTTGGTGACAGGTCTGTTTTCTTTCTTTGCTGCAATTCATGAGGAGACCGTATGGACCCTTACCTGTCCTTCCGCACCCCACTTGGGAGATGGGTGTTTGAACCCCCCTGGGTTTTGTGAATGTGAATTTTTGGAGGGTGGATTACGATCGGTTCTATGCGACAAGTGACCACACACACCCAGCCCCAGGTCCGCTCACTCCCTCCCCACATCACCCCCACACCACACTCCAGCCCGCCTCATCCACCGAGCCGAGCCAAACAGACAGGCCTGACCTTTACCCCCCCCCCCCTCCCCCAGCCGGTGTAACGCAGCGTCCGGTCAAATCGCTCTACCAGGCGACCCGAGACGGTGTCATACAGTGTGGGTAGGCTGTGCCGCTTCACTCTCGGGTCATGCGGCACAGCCTACCGGTACCAGGCGGCTGCTGCCAATGCTGAGCCATAGGAAGCCGGTGGATAAAGAGTAGGGGACCATCAACCTGTACACGACTGTACATACCTACGCGATAAAAAAGAAAAAGCGAGAGAGAGAGAAAAGAGAGAGAGAGAGTAGAGAGACAGAGAGACAGAGAGAGAGAGAGAGAGAGAGAGAGAGAGAGAGAGCGAGTAGAGAGAGAGAGAGAGAGAGAGAGAGAGAGAGAGAGAGAGAGAGAGAGAGGGGCAGAATAAGCAGAACTGAGCGTGGATAAGAAGATGAGAAGGTTCCTAAAATAGACGCCGGCTGAGCGATGATCTCATACTAAATTATCTAATGCTAAAGATGGAGGAGTATCAGTGACCGACTACGATGCGTAGCTATATTTAGGAACATTCGTCGGAGGGACTCGAGCTTGATGACGTGGAACAGAATAATAAATGGGAAAAGTGATCAATGTGTCGTCAGGACGGGAATAATCGAGAAGGTTATGACATTATTATATGACCATCAGGATCCATCGACTAGCATGCAAATCGCAAATATACTATTGAATGATGCAGATATATACAGATATCAATAAATAAAAACGTAATCGAGTCTCGACTGTTAGAGTAACCGATTCGAGTTTGTTTGTCTGAGGCCGCATTTGCTATAGTAATTAAATGTATAGAAAAGTTATCTTTGAGCTAAAAATATGTACAAAACCAAAGGAAGTGCTCATCTACGGTCTGCCTTTGAGTGATCGGAAAGCATTTCAATGCATTCCATGCATTTGCATTTTATAATTTGCATTTCCTTGTTGTTTGGCAAACATTAATATCAGCATTTAAGTTTAATAAAACGGATTCTCGCATTTTTTGGCAATCAGTAATGAAACAATCCAATTAATAGCAGGATTTATAACGTAATCAAACTTTACTCAACGATCCATCAGGGTCTCGCTGAGAGTAACTTGTCCAGTGAAGGGAAAAGTTGGCCAATTAACAAGTTGGGTGAACGGCTGAGGAAAATTACAGCAGTCCGACTCGACAGCGGCTATATGGGACGAGGAGCCTCTGACTGTTGTCTGGACACTGGAGGTGTGAGACAAGGTGTTAGCTTTTGTCTAGAGGGCGTATAATGCAGCCTGAGTGGGGATTGCGGCAAGGGCATACAATTGACATCCCCATTTGACTCATTAGCACCATATATACAAACCGAATTTGAGTTGCAGGCGTATAGAGGTAGGAACGTCATTGAGCGGCCTCATGGAGCCATCATGACACGTGACTGATATAAGTCGAGATATTTCATATTCTTTTAAATCACGTTGCACTTGCAGTATTTTTATTCCAGAAGTTGTGTAACATTTAAATATATTTCCATTTTCTTTCGTTCAATTACTGCGAACTGTTTTTTTTTTTTTAGCTGAGTCTTTGAGAAAAGCAATAAATGATTTAGGCGTTAAACTCGCTTTACAATAGCCATTGGCCATCGCTATAGCTCATTGGTCAAATTTTCATACAGCACCAGCTAGCTCACTATCTAAAAACATTTATCGAACGGACAGTCACCCATCGTTTTCTATAGTCATCCAGCGCCTATCCACTTATCTCTTCGAGCTTTCTTCCACAGTCAGCTGGCCAAATACTGTTACATCTCAGCCAATCAGATGACAGCCAGCAGCGTCGTCAGCCAGCTGTCTGGTTACCATGGAAACCATCCCGCTGCGGCTATGTGATGCCGGTTAAACCCGAGAACATCTGCAGATCTGTGTGATTATGGCATCTTTTCTGGGGAAATTGTGATACTGAAATCCATCCATCTCGGTTATGGCAAGGTCGTAGAGATTTGACGACTGTGGAAACTCACAGCGAACACAAGAGAGATTTAGAGCCCTAAAATAGACACCCAACGACCAGAAGCATTGTCGAAAATGTGTGCTACTGCTTACTGATGCAAAATCAAACACACGAAAAGCATTACGCTTGTCTCGTGTACCTGCTACTTTACTCGATAAATGCCAGATGAAGTTCCTTAGAATCCTTAGAGTATGATTAATTGACATCATTTAACGCACCACACTTACATTTCATAATTGCCCCAAGGGCTTCTGATTGGATGAGCTGATTGCTGATTGATCAAAGTTCGTGCCGAATTTCACGAATAAGCCATTCAAACGCAGCGACAGCCGGTTGACGTCACAGACCATCCAATCAGAATGCAAATCACCCCTATAGAGTTGTTGGTACGACGTTTGAAAATTCCGGGGCTCGCAAGACGAGATCCGAGGCTTCCCTGCATTCCAAGTGTCTGTTGATTATGAGCTCGGCCGCTATGGAACAACATTTTTCCTCGCAGACAGTTTCCACAGATACCCCGCAGTCAAGATGGCGTCATGTTGGGTTTATATTGCTCCCTGAGGAACAATAAAGCCGACGAGAAATGTTTCACCAACGGGCGAGGTGAGAATAACGATGTGCAAAGTGCTAAATTTATATAACGCAACAGTGCGCAGTGCACACCAGGGTGTATATAAGTGGTGTAAATTAACCGACGCATTTACTCTTCTAGTGGTAGAAGTGGTTGTCAGTGCGTGAGAAGGAACAGGCGTGTTTGGACTTATCAAATGACCACAGTCGAAGGTGCGTCAACGTAATCCTAAGCCTTGGTAAAAGTCCGCTATCTGCACCCTCAATACCTGTCAAGTTTACAAGTTCATTTTTTCTTTGACTCGGTTAAAAGGGACAAAGAATGCGAGAAACACACGCCACTATTTCATTTCAAATTTGATGTGAGCACTTCG